CGGTAAGCAAGGGAAGCTCAGCCTCCAGTCAAAGCCAGGCCCAAGCTCAAGAGCAACAACAATCGCAAGCTCAAAGCCAACAACAGGACTCTAGGTCAACAAGCAAGGGAAGCTCAGCCTCCAGTCAAAGCCAGGACCAAGCTCAAGAGCAACAACAATCTCAAGCTCAAAGCCAAGAACAGGACTCTGAGTCGGTAAGCAAAGGAAGCTCACACTCCAGTGGAAAGAGCAACCAAAGTCAAAGCCAGGCTCAAGCTCAAGAGCAACAACAATCTCAAGCTCAAAGCCAACAACAGGACTCTGTGTCGGTAAGCAAGGGAAGCTCAGCCTCCAGTCAAAGCCAGGAACAAGCTCAAGAGCAACAACAGGAACAATCTCAACAACAACAACAAGCTCAGCAACAACAACAATCTGAAGCTGAAAGCCAACAACAGGACTCTATGTCGGCAAGCAAGGGAAGCTCAGCCTCCAGTCAAAGCCAGGAACAAGCTCAAGAGCAACAACAATCTCAAGCTCAAAGCCAACAACAGGACTCTGTGTCGGTAAGCAAGGGAAGCTCAGTCTCCAGTCAAAGCCAGGCCCAAGCTCAAAAGCAACAACAATCGCAAGCTCAAAGCCAAGAACAGGACTCTATGTCGGCAAGCAAGGGAAGCTCACACTCCAGTGGAAAGAGCAGCCAAAGTCAAAGCCAGGCTCAAGCTCAACAACAGGAACAATCTCAACAACAACAACAAGCTCAGCAACAACAACAATCTCAAGCTGAAAGCCAACAACAGGACTCTATGTCGGCAAGCAAGGGAAGCACAGCCTCCAGTCAAAGCCAGGACCAAGCTCAAGAGCAACAACAATCTCAAGCTCAAAGCCAAGAAGAGGACTCTGTGTCGGCAAGCAAGGGAAGCTCAGCCTCCAGTCAAAGCCAGGAACAAGCTCAAGAGCAACAACAATCTCAAGCTCAAAGCCAACAACACGACTCTGTTTCGGCAAGCAAGGGAAGCTCAGCCACCAGTCAAAGCCAGGCCCAAGCTCAAGAGCAACAACAATCGCAAGCTCAAAGCCAACAACAGGACTCTATGTCGGCAAGCAAGGAAAGCTCACACTCCAGTGGAAAGAGCAGCCAAAGTCAAAGCCAGGCTCAAGCTCAACAACAGGAACAATCTCAACAACAACAACAAGCTCAGCAACAACAACAATCTCAAGCTGAAAGCCAACAACAGGACTCTATGTCGGCAAGCAAGGGAAGCTCAGCCTCCAGTCAAAGCCAGGACCAAGCTCAAGAGCAACAACAATCTCAAGCTCAAAGCCAACAACAGGACTCTGTGTCGGTAAGCAAGGGAAGCTCACACTCCAGTGGAAAGGGCAGCCAAAGTCAAAGCCAGGCTCAAGCTCAACAACAGGAACAATCCCAACAACAACAACAAGCTCAACAACAACAACAATCTCAAGCTGAAAGCCAACAACAGGACTCTATGTCGGCAAGCAAGGGAAGCTCAGCCTCCAGTCAAAGCCAGGAACAAGCTCAAGAGCAACAACAATCGCAAGCTCAAAGCCAACAACAGGA